CGGCAGCTTCCCCGGGGTTATTTGTAGACAGCACATAAGGCTGGAGGAGGAGAGCGTATGGGGAGGTTTTCCAGCTCCATGGGAATGGCTGTGCAGTGGGGTTGGCGCAGGGAAAGGCTCCCTCTGGCCTGCTGGAAAGGCTGCTGCACCAGCACCCTGCACTTGGTCGAGGTGGGAGTCGCCCTCCCCAAAGTGAGAAGTCAATCAGTAGCCTACAGCAGCTGGAAGAAGACAAGAAGTAGCTTCTGCTTAACATGATAAGGGAGAAGTGGAGAGCGACATAGTGAACGTGGCTGTCCAAGGAAATGGACTTGTGAGAGCACTCAGATGCCTCTGAGCATCAGGAGATGTAGCAGGAGGCAAGAGCAGGAGCTCTTGCGGGCAGCCGACACAAGCCCTCGCTCTAGGTGGTTCTACTCCCAGTAGGGCTTGCTGTCTGCAACATCCTTCCATTGTTAATTCAGCAACAGCAGCTTTTCATGTAGAACTAATAATTAGCTGAGCTTTTAGATGGCTCCTCGGCTGCCTGCACCGTCACATTAATTTTTAAACAAATAATCATTGACAGAGCCTACAAATGCAGGGGCACTGGGGGAGGCAGGTGCTGTTGCTCTGAACACAGTGAAGTGACAGCCACAGACAGCGGCATGGGATTTGATGTATTACGTGTGAAGCCTGTGCTGTGCATCAGATGAGCTTTTTCACCCTCGCCAGTGGCTGTCTTTTCTCATATATCAGCTCATTCTTTGTGTTTGTATCTAGATCCAGAGTGGGCTTCTTACAAACTTGGAATATTCATTTGTTTGAACTGCTCTGGAATCCATCGCAATCTTCCTCAGATCAGCAAGGTCAAATCCCTTCGTCTTGACTTCTGGGAGAATGATCTTATAGAGGTACAGAGGAAAAAGTGGTAATTCACTTGCTTTCCTCCACCTTTCATCATAACCTCTGCCTCGCAATTCCTGTTATCCACCATGGACAGAGGCAAAAAGCCTCACAGAACCAAGTTAACTCCATGGGTAACTTTTAAAAAGTGCAGTGCTCCCTTGAATTCAAGTTTCACTTTATATTAATGACGTGGTATTGATTTTATAGTTGCATACGTAACCATATCTTCTTTTGTGTTTCAGTTTATGAAAAAGCACGGGAACCTCTGTGCCAAAGCTAAATATGAGGCAAAAGTCCCTCCTTACTATTACATCCCCCAGTTCTGTGATTGCTTGTAAGTCGATGGGGTGTTCACTGCTGCAGTCCTTCACAGCTATTGAACTACTGCTTCCCTCTACAGGTCCCTTTGGTTGATTGGTGAAAGTAGAGTAGAGGCAGATCAGCTTTATCCATGTTTTCCTCTTTCAGGGTTTTAAAAGAGCAATGGATTAGAGCTAAATATGAGCGTGAGGAATTTGTTGCCACCCGAGTCTGCCAAGATCCTTGTTCTGCAGGTAAAAGTTAGGACTGTCAGGGAAAAGGTGTTAGTGTTAAAGCCAGCAGCGCAGTGTTCTGTTTGCAACTGTGCAGATCTTTAAGGCTGGCTTGTCGTGTTTGAACCCTTGGATGTGCAGGCCTTGCTTTGAGTCTAACTTTGAGAAGAAGATCCTGAGAAAAGGCACTCAGACAAGTGCAAGGGTGTATTCAGATCAGGTCTCTAGTTCTCCGCTGATTTTTTCATATGAGGTAAAAATTCTCAGCTGAAGAAGACACTTGATACTTTTTGTCACCTCACCATTTAGATAAACAGGCCTGCTGTTGTGCTGCCCTTCTCTGACACTTACCTTGGTCCGATGTGCAGGCAGCCGGGAAGGATTCCTCTGGAAGCGTGGACGGGAAAGCAGGCACTTCCATAAGAGACGATTTCTCCTATCAGCAAGGGAAGGAGTGATGAAGTACTACAACAAAGAAGTGAGTTCCTCAGTCAGAGTTGGCTGCAGGTAGCTGGTCAACATACATCCTCAGACCCTGCTCTTCACCACCAAAACCCAGCGTAAATAGCTTTGTCTCTGGTTCTGCAGGCAGGCCAGCCTGTGTTTGGAGGAGCCCAGATGTCTCCCCATGAATGTATGTGCTATCTTAGGCAATTGCTCTTTTAGATTGAGCCCTTTTCTTCATCCTTTATCTTAACCATACGGCCTCCTTTTGCTTAGTGAACAAAGGAAATGGATACTGGCAGTTGAACAGCAAGATGAAGAAGACATCTCTTAGCAGCTGTTACCAAAATATTCTCTCATCAACTGCCTAAGCATCATCCTTAACGTGTCTCCCTTTAGCTGGGGGTTGTAGCTAGTTGTTCTCCAACTAGGAGGCTGGAGATAGACCCATCTCTTGCAATTCAGACACATCCCTCTCAAATAGCAGCCCAGCATTTGTCAAGGCAAGGGAATCGCTCTTTCATTTTATGTAGCATGTAATTAAGGCTTAATATTTTGGGCATATCCAATATTCAGGTATTTTAGGATGTCTGCTTTTTCTTCAGTAGAGGTCTCATTCTCATACAGCTGATCTGCCCTCAGTCACCTTCCCTGAGAGCACTTTAATATAGTGATGCTTTTTCATTTCACAGTTCGGAGATCCAAAAGCCATTATCAGCATTGAGAATCTGAATGCAATGTTCCAGACAGATAAAATCCAACATGCTCATGGGCTGCAGATCACATACAACACAGAGGGTCAAAGAAGGAACCTTTTTGTCTATCATGAAAGTGGAAAGGTGAGTACCACAAAGGTTTTGGAATAAGCAAAATGCTTAGATGTTGGATCTGTATGTTGGAAGAGGTGCCCTGTTTCTGCAGAATCTGGTTTTATTTGAAGTCACTGTGACTTGCAGAATATAGAAAGTTGCAAAATTTGAGACTAATAACTATAAGATCTTGCTCCTGTTCTTTTGGGGCATATATTGAACTTCACACCCTGAATAGTCTTTAGGCTTTGGTGGGGTGTGTATGTAGATCTCTGTAAGGTGACTGTCTCATGGATTTACACAATTCTGTAGTTCTATTCTTTGAAGCCTTCTTGACACACATAGAATATTTCCATGCATTATTTCCAAGCAAACAATGATAATTTTAAGAAGTATGTCTATGGGTTTTGCTAGATTTCTGTTTGTTCCCTTGCCACAGTTCTCATGTCTTTCCTGTATAAAGGTTTTTAAAGAATCCATAACTGAATCAACTGAAGAAGCCTGTGTACACAGGCTTGGGTGACTGCCCATGCCGAGAATGTCTGGGACCTCCCTGGTGGGGAATTTTTTAGTGTTTTCCAGGTGTCTGGGACAAATCACTGAGTCTCTCTGCCCCTTGGGGAGAAAGTACATCCTTGCACAGAGGTCACAAGAAAGGAGAAAGGCATTTTGGAGAGGCAGCATTCTTACTCTTTCTTGCTTTTCTTGTCTTTATGCTTGTATTTGCTGTTTTCCCTAGGAGATTGTTGACTGGTTCAATGCCATTCGGGCAGCACGTTACCATTATCTCAGAACAACCTTCCCCAATGCCCCTGAGCCTGAGGTGAGAACTGAACAGGGCTTGAAGCAGTCTATGCAAACATAGCATGGGGAAACATTTTCTCACTACTGTCAAAGGCAGGTGCTTAAACAGCAGAGTATGGGTCTTGGAATGGCCAGAAGAGGTAGAAGGAAAGGGTACACTGCATAAAGTGCAAAAACATAGTCAACTTTTAAGGCCTAAAAGTCTCTATGTGGTCCTTAGAAAGTGTAATCTTTCAGAAATCTTACGTTCCTTCTTATTTCAGACTTCGCTTTACTGAGCAGCCAAAAAAAACCCCAGACCCCAAAAGCCAAAATTGATGGTGATTAGCTTTGACAGAAACAACAGAAAAGCAAGTTTGAATGAGACATGCTGTCCTGGTTTGGGCTGGGATAGACACAGACTTTTTTGTGTTTGTATTCTCCTAGCTCATACCCAGAATCACAAGAAATTATATCAAAGAGGGATACATGGAGAAAACGGGACCAAAAGTAAGTGCATACTTAGCAGTACACAAACAAGATTATTCCAGATGGAGAGTATTTGATAATTCTGTGATGTTCACTAGTAAATGATTGCTGAGAGACTATATGCTTCCTGGGTTATCATAGAATAGTTAGGGTTGGAAAGGACCTTAAGATCATCTAGTTCCAAACCCCCTGCCATGAGCAGGGACACCACACATTAAACCATGTCACCCAAGACTCCATCCAGCCTGGCCTTGAACACTGCCAGGGATGGAGCTTTCACAGCTTCCTTGGGCAACCCATTCCGATGCCTCACCACCCTCACTGCAGAGAACTTCTTCCTTATATCTAACCTAAACTTCCCCTGTTTAAGTTTGAACCCATTACCCCTTGTCCTACCACTACAGTCCCTAACAAAGAGTCCCTCCCCAGCATCCTTGTAGCCCCCTTCAGATACTGGAAGGCTGCTCTGAGGTCTCCACGTAGCCTTCTCTTCTCCAGGCTGAACAGCCCCAACTTTCTCAGCGTGTGTTCATACGGGAGGTGCTTCAGCCTCTGATCATCCTCGGGGGTTCCTCTGGACTTGCTCCAACAGCTCCATGTCCTTCTTATCTTGAGGACACCAGAACTGTACACAATACTCCACGTGAGGTCTCACAAGAGCAGAGTAGAGGGGCAGGATCACCTCCTTCAATCTGCTGGTCACGCTCCTTTTGTTGCAGCCCAGGGTACGGTTGGTTTCTGGGCTCAAGCACACACTGAAGCTGGCTCATGTCAAGCTTCTCATCAACCAACAACCCCAAGTCCTTCTTGGCAGGGAGATAAAAAACTTTTATTAAAAAAAATGGTTGATAAAGGTTGATAAAAGACTTTATATTCAAGCCTGTCATGTTCTTTGGGATCATGTTTTATTTTGTGTGGAAAATAAGACTACGAAGAAGTATCCTCCTTGAAGAATAAGCAAGATGGATTAGCTGGCGGTGGACATGCAAAGTCCTGTTGTGCAACACAAAATAGCTTGCTGTGTCTGCTAACTGCACCTCTAGAAGTGCAGCTCCTGCTAGAAAGAACATCACATGCTGACTCCCATACTTCCCCATTTCTCTTCAAGTCTGTAGCACATAAATCACATCTGCCTATAGCAGCAAAGTGTGATTGAGAAATTCTCCACAGTGAAGCCTGTGGTTTGGTTTCGTTTTTTGTGGGAAAGTATTTGGGCCACTATGTCTTGGAAGAGGAGGGGAAGATTTCAGGCATAATGAAGGAGGCCATGAAGTTCTGAGGACATGTTTGAACAGTGCCACTTCTTGCCTAGGGAAAACCCCACCAAAATGTTGAAACTGATTGCACATTATCACCATTGGCCCAGGGATCATTCTCTGCAGTGCTTTTAATGGATATATGTGCTGCAACTTTCTTAATCTTGATAATTTGATCACTGGTAGAACCAAACTTGCCTGCCTTACCCAAATGATTGTCACTAAAGGCAAATCTCTAGTGTGAACCCAGGGAGAAGGCGGGGTGGGGGCTGCACACAGCAGTGACTCGCCTGTTACCAGTTATGGGGATTAATGAAACTGAACTCAGTCTCTGAGCCATTTAAGCACTCCAGGGATCTTCCTTCAATAGGTAGGTGGAAGTCCCCTTTGGGTCTTGGTCTTTAAAGAATTTCTACCATCTCCTTGCAGCAGAAGGAGCCCTTTAAGGTGCGCTGGTTCTGCCTGGATTCGCAAGAAAGGAACCTGATGTACTTTAAAAAACCACTGGTAAGAGGAGTGTTCTTTGCTATTCCATGTGAAGCTGGGTGGGGAGGAAGGGTCCGTTCTCATCCAGCTTTTCCAGTGGCTGCACAAGACTGAAGCAGGCTCAGTCTCAAGAGCTCATCTCCCTTGTCGGTAGATCTCTTTGAAGCTGAACTGTTTGGATAGCATGGTGTCTGCTGGAACTAATGGCTGTCTCCTGCTTCCTCCTTTCCAGGATGCATTTGCAAGGGGCCAGATTTTAATTGGAAGCATGGATGAGGGATATGAAGTGCGAGCTGGCATGCCCCAGGGAGTCCGGGTGAAGAAGAAACCAGCAATCACTGTGGTCACACCAATGAGGGAGTTTGTGTTCATATGTGAGAACGAAAGGGAGCAGAGGGAGTGGATGGATGCCTTAAATGGAGTCATTGCCCAGCCTTTGACTGGTTAAGACTAGCACTGAGTTCTGGTGAACTGCACTTCTTGGGCTCTTTTTGGCATTGCTCTGTGGCCTCTTTCTGTTGGCAAGGATGGTGCTCAAGGCCCTAGTGACTCTAGTACAAGGGGCTGCTTCTTCAACAGCCACAGGCACAGGAAAAGCGGCAACAGAGAAATGGATAAAGGGGAGTGCAGATATTCAGAAATGATCTGTGTCCCTGCAGAACCTCACTTGAAGTGCCTTCCCTCTTCCTACCCTCTGCTGCTTTTGAGCAGAGGAGGCCTTCCCAGCCTGACAGGAATGAATCATCCAGTGTTGTCTTATGGAAAAAAACCCAAGTCAACGGGGAAAGTCTGACCCCAGAAGGGCTGGCATGCCTTTCCTTGAGGACTCCTGCAGGTGCTGTTATGTCAGCTCCTCCTTTTCTTGCCTTGGTCTGATGTCAGAAGGACTCCTGTACATCCTGAAGGATGTACCTGACAATCCAGGCAAAGGCATGTATCCTGCCAGCGACAGGGGTCATCTGTTACATGGGTACATAGCGACCGAGGGGCCGAGGCACTGTCTCTTATTAGGACGATGCAGGGGGATCTGTTGGATAGATTTTAGATACCAATTCATGCTGGAGTCACTGGATGTCCTTCTCAGGGAGGAGTAGAGTCAGGCAGCTATGTTCCATCTGGCTGTTCCAGACAGGAACGTAGTGGTTTTCAACAAAGTGGGTTCAATGTCTTTTACAGTGTTATATTTCTGGCACTGTAGAAAATAAAAGTCAAGTTTGAATTGTGGATGTACTGTAATGGACTCACTCTAATGACAAACACTCCTTGCTCCTTGCTTTGAACAGTCTCTGCTGTTTGACTTTTTAATGATTGGCAAATCCAACATGTGAGGACCAAGTATTTCCAGAGCAACACCTCATAATGCCTCAGCAAACCCAGATGAGTACAGCATGAACATAAGCTGAGCTGCCTCACCTCCTAAAAACCAGCTGAAGCTTAATGAGCTTGATTAGTCTGACCATTGAAAGGCAGAAACTGGTTTTAAAAGTGTTATCTTCAGTGACTTGCTTGGAGACACTCAATGAATGAGGACAAGCACTGAAGTGGAGGGTGAGTACTTCCTGATCAGGTACCACTCCCATCCATTCTGTGCAGGAACTGATGAAGATTTGCACTGGCTGATACCGTGCACTGAGTATTTTCTTGCCTCAGTACCAAGTCTGAGATTTGGTTCTACCAAGCCACCAGTCATCCAGATATTTAATTCTTCTTTTCAAATAGCCTTAGTTTGCAGTTCAAGAGGAAGTCTTGCAGACCAAGTTTCTGGTGAGGCTTCCACCTTTTGCTGACAGTTGCCAGCCAGTCTTAGATACCCGGAATAGTTGTCCTCTTCTGCAGAAATGAGGAAGTGCTAATACTTGCAGGGATTAGCAAGATTAACTCTTTGGGTTTGGTTTTGTTCCCCCTCCTGTCCCCTCCAGTAGTGCAGAAGAATAGCTTAAGTGGAATGACCATTCTGCCTCTCTTAGCCAGTTCATCACCACCCAACTCTGAGCAATCTGCAGCAGTTCCGCTTGCAGGCATGCTCCCATGAACTTCCCTGCATTCCCACTCTCCCCCTGTGCAACATGATTCATTCTAGTTCACATGCTGATTCAGCAAATCTTTTTAACAACCTAATCCTGCAGCCCTTGAAATGAATAGCAAAGCACCTCCTCACTTGTATGAGGAACAATGTCTTTGCTTGTTTTGATATAATTGTTATTTTGAGATGAACTGACTAACCCAGGATGATCTCAGGAGACCTCTGTCTATCCAGCAGCCCAAACTTCACATGGATAGGGCTCTGCCAGCTGTGCTGTGCCGTATTGCTCGCTCCCCATACCAGTCCTGTCAGCAGCTCTGATAGTTACAAAACCGGGAACTTCCCCGTGAAAATGAAATTGTGCAGATAACAGCAACTTTTTTCAAGAGTCAATAAAAGTCACGGCCGGGTCATGGACAGCTCCGTGACATACGGCTACAGTCAACCCAAATCCTCGGACCAGGCTGCCGGCAGAGGAGGCGCTG